TTGAAAATTTGCAGAAACAATTTCAACAAATATTTTATAATCTATTGATTTTAGCGAGGATTTTAGAGACATAGTTCAAATTCAAAAGTATTATACTTTTAATATTCTTCAAAAATGGCAACTTTTTTCTAATTTGAACGCCCTCGTAACCTCAACCGTTCCCGAGATAGCAATCAATGCAGTCCCTATGAAATAGTTGGGACCCTGTATACCCAAGCATTTTTGACCAGTTGAACGGGGACACCCTGTATGTGCAGCACAATTCCGATTCTTAAGAAAATCACTTTTTCTCAAATGAAAATTTTAAAAAATGATGCGGCTGACCGTCAAGTTAGCCTCGCCGTAATGTTTAAACAAAAAATGGGATGATGGAATAAAGAAGGAGGAAAAATTTATGCAGCACAATTCCGATTCGCAAGGAAAATATATATATTTTTTTTTAATGAAAATTCAAAAAAAATGAGGGGCTGAGCGTCAAGTTAGCCCCACCATACCATAATGTTTAAACAAAAAATGGAATAATGGAACGGTGTATGAGGGAAAATATGTGCAGTACATTTCCGTTTCTCAAGGAAAATACGTTTTTTTAAATGAGAATTCAGAAAAATGGGGGGGCTGAGCATCAAGTTATCCCCGCCATGTTTAAACAAAAAATGGAGTGATGAAATAAAGTAGGAGGGAAAATATGTGCAGCACAATTTAGCATAATTCCGATTTTCAAAAAAAAACACTTTTTATATGTGCAGCACAATTCCGTTTCTCAAGGAAAACACTTTTTTTTAAATTCGGAATTCAAAAAAATGGGGGGGCTGCGCGTCAAGTGAGCCCCTCTACTTTTTTGTAAATAACTCAGTGATTTCTACCAAAAAAGTTATGAAATTCGGTTATGGGGGGCTAACTTGACGAAGCTACTGTAATGGCTGCCTAATTTGGCGGTTCGTTCAAAAATAATTCCATAATCACTACAATATTTTTTAGGAATTTCAATGATTTTGTAAGATTTTGCGAGATTTTTTTAGGTTTAATAAAATTTTGTGGGATTTTGTAGGATTTTATAGGATTTTGAGAGATTTTAAGGGATTTTGTGGGATTTTGTTAAATTTTTAAGGATTTTAAAGATTTTTAAGGATTTTAAAGATTTTTAGGGATTTTAAGGAGATTTTACAAGATTTTTTGGGATTTTGACCAACATGTACACGGATTTTGATGAGTTAACTGCCCCTCGGTAAAAACTAAAAACATCGACTCATCAAGCAAACTGAGGAATCCCACTGAAATTCTACGAAATTCCACTGGGATCCCCACTGATGGGATCCCTCGGAATTCTACTGAAATTCCAGGCAATCCTACTGGAATCACACGGTATCCTACTGGAATCCCACGGAATCCTACTGGAATCCAATGGAATTCCATGTCTATGAAAAATTCTTTTGAATTTTTAGAATCATTTTAAACGCTAGCAAGCAAAAACTCTGAAGAAAAAGTCTGGTTTTTCAGTTTAGTTGCCACTACATAGGTACAAATTGAAGACAGCGACTCATCAAATAAAATAAGAAATCACATTGTAATCGCACTGAAATCCCAAAAAATCCCACGGAATTCCACTGGAATCCCACATGCTTGATGTACACTATTTCAATTAGGTTTTGTGTTTTAAGTCTTATGGTCTTGAATATGCAACCCCCATATGCGCTCCACATTATGAGATATACAAGGGACAGATTGAAAAAGTACACAGGAAATTCCTTCGCCTTGTCGCTTCCAAACAGGATGTTTAGCGGGAAGATGTAGTCTATAGTGATATAGAATCTTCGATCAATATAGTATCCCTGAATCAAAGACGCATCTATCTGGATCTCACACTGTTTTATTAAATTTATTAACTCGCTAACTTGCTTCGGACGATAAATCTCTTCTATTCCACAAAGAGCTCTTAGAGCTCACAGCTTGTTTCACATAACATTTCATAGAATAAATTATGGATGTAATAGTCCAATTATGCGCATGTGTAGGGAGATGAATTCTTTTGATGCTCGTCTTGATATTTTTTGTTTATCACTCGAACAGAAACAACTGACGAACATGATACAAGAAACTCTACATGAGAAAGAAAGCGCACTATGCGACTTCCTAGACATCGCTGGTGCCTTTGACAATACATCACCTGTGGTGGGTCATTCGGAGAGCACTTACGAGAAGGGGAGTCAACGACACAATATCCCGATGGATATGTAAGAACTAAGATGCTTGCCACGAGGACAGCAGAGACCTCTCGAGGCACACACAGGGCGGAGTATGCTCACCCCTCATGTGGAGGTTAGTGGTGGATGAACTACAAGGAATACTGAACAACCTGAGCTCGCACTGCATTGGGTATGCCGATGACTTGTCATCATAGCAAGTGGAAAGTTCGAGGGCACCCTTTGTGAACTCTTACAAACTGGACTCAAAGCAACAGAGGAATGGTGCCGAACAGTTGGACTGGAAACAAACCCATCAAAAACCACCATAGTGCTGTTCACTAGGAGGAGGAAACTCCCTAGAATAAAGGACATCCGAATACACGGGACAATTATTAAACCGGTGACGGAAGTCAAATATCTCGGCATAACGCTAGACTGCAAATTCAGATGGAACAAACACATCGAGGTTTGTAGTTGTAACCAAGGCTACAAGGGCTCTAATGGTGTGCCGAAGCTTTGCAGGCAAAACCTGGGGATGCAAACCAGGAATATTGAGATGGAATTTTAATTGAAGGTTTTGGAAACTGGTTAGTTCCATTATTATTAGGGGCACCGGACATAGCTTTGATGTACACCATGATAGTAATACCAACCCTACTATATGGATCGATAGTTTGGTGCAAAGAAGTTGAAAAACAGAATATAAAGGCAGCTCTCAACAAATTGCAACGCCTGGCGTGCACATGCATCACAGGCGCAATGAGAACCTGTCCTACAGCAGTCATCGAGACAACTGTACGTCTCGCACCTCTTCACAACGTGGTGGAGGGGGCCGCTAGAAGAACAATCGCGAAAGAGGGGGCTAGCGAGGGAGGTTGACTTGGGAGGAGAGAATTAGCATCTCTGAGCAAGCTGATTCCACTCCTCGAGCTTCTCAGGGATGATATGATCGAAACATATAGTTTTGAGAAACGCTTCACGTCATAAGAAGCAAGAATTCTCACAATGTAGCAGAAAGCCGTAAAATGGTACACTGATGGGTCAAGCACTGAACAAGGGACCGGAGTCGGGGTACTTGGGCCTAAAATCAAGTCCTTCGAAGCAATGAGAAAATACCCAGATATATTTCAGGCGGAAATAACCGCCATAAGTAGATGTGCTGAGTTCAATCTTCACAGAAACTACAAAGAGAAAGAGATTGTCATATTCTCAGACAGTCAAGCAGCCATCAAAGCGCTTAGCGCACATAGAATCAGTTCTAGAATGGCTTGGGAATGCCTGGACAAGTTAAACAAACTATCAGTGGATACTGGGACATGAAGGACAAACTCTGCTTTCAGGACCAGAGCCTTTCTGTGGTATAGGGACGCACACCTATAAGAAAGAGTTTAGTAAGGAAGAGCAGACCAAATGGATCAGCCTTTGGCAATCAAAAATGTTTCTTGGGCTCTCTCACCAAGGGGGATCAAAAGACCTTACAGCACTGAGTCAAAACAATCTTCGCATCCTAACTGGATTCCTCACAGGCCCCTGCCGGTTAAGAGGGCACCTTGAGAGTATTAGAACTGGAAACGAAGACAGCTGCCGCTTTTGTGAGAAAGAGAGGGAAACCCCAGAACACCTTCGGATGCTGCATCGTTGGATGGGAAGAAATTCCATTCATAGAATCATCCAGCTTACTTACGTTCATAAAATCTTTGAAGCTGGATGAGGTGCTTTGAGTGCGTATCATATCAACTGAAGTACTCAGAAGGGGGGCACAATACATCTACGCAGGTCGCAGTGTAGCGATACCCCTAGAAGCTGCCATAATACCATTAAAATCCAACAGTTAAGTCCTGGAATGGATGAAATTGCCTCCCTTTTTCTCAGAAACAGTGTGCAAGCAACATCTTATTGAGAACTAGGGAATTTCCAGAATCCTGAAAGAAAGCCATTATCACACCAAAATTTAAGAAAGGAAATAAATAATTAGCAAGCCAATGAGTTTAACCAGCATTCTGTGTAACTGCATGGAAAAAATCATAGCAAAATAACTTAAAGTCTTTACCTTGTCATCCAAAAGACTTGCAGATTTTCAAAATTTAAAATAACGTAAAAGACTAAACTCTCTTCCATTCAATGAACACCAGAGCACCTGATAATAACACTAAAAATCATTGAAAGAATAATTTATATTTTCTAATAATCCAATAAAATACAAAGGAAAATTTATTATTATATTTAAATCTTGACTCTCTGGCGGTACTAGAGAGAATTATTTCAACTACGTGTAATATTTTTGAAGTTTTATATTGTTCCCGACCTTTTATCGTGTACAGATCTGTAATTCTTGTCGTGTTGTGTAATGTGTTTTTTTCTCGTCACTGTCCTTTAACAATTTTTTAACTTCTGTGTCTCTACTACGCTGAATTCCAATAAACGAAAATTTGCATGAAATACATTTTGTTTCTTTCCTTATCCGGACACTCGCACACAGCCTCCTCTCAGTCCTCTCCTTGGAATAGTTTTTAGGGCAATCACATAGCATCATCAGTAATATAGGAATAAATATTGCCTCGGGAAAAAACTTTCGAACATGGATTATTCCATTATTTCAGCCAAAGAGTACTTTACTGTGTAAATACAATTACTACTATTCTTTATCAAAAACTGTGTTTTTTTTTCTATCTGGTATAAACTGAATGATTTTCATGATCAATGGATGATGGCACCTATTCTATCAGTATGGGAGATATTTTAAGTTGTACCATACAAACTTTGAAAAGTTATAAGTTTCATCTTATCATCTATACTTAAATTTATATCTATGTTTAGGAACTTTTCAAAGCCCAAAATGAAGAAACTCGTCGAAAACACATCAAACTATTAAAAGACGATCAACTGCTTCTATGTAAAACGAAAATGGAAGAGAAGACCCGATTTGGAAACATGATGCGATTCACGAACACCCAAAGGCGGGAATTTGAAGAAGAGCTGCAAATTCACATGCAAAAAGAACAGGCAGCTTTGAGCGAGTACCAGCACGATCAAGACAATAGTATTGCTAGAGAATTGAATAATATTAAGACGGATGAATTTAGACAACTCAAATTGAGGTAGGAATAAGACAATCTAAACAAATTTGCAACATTTTTTTTTCTTACTATTACACACCTATGTATATCTAAATCAGTTTTTTTTTTCTAAAACAGACAGCAGTTAAGAGAAAATTCTCATGAATTACGTGAATTGGAAAGAAAACTTAAAGGTGCCTATGTTAACAAAGAACTGGCCGCCCAAATTGCCCAAAAAGAAGCTGAAAGGGACAATGAAAAGGTACAAACAAAATGAAAACAATAATAAAAATGCAAGTCAATGTTCTGTTTTAGATTCAAGAGAGACGAACCCATGAAATTCTAAAGGAGGCTCGCGTTAAAGAAGAAGAACTGAGTAGACAGTTGGCAGAAGAAGATATGTATAAAAAAGCCCAATACATGCAGGAGCTTCAAGAACAAATAATTTTGGGCGAACAATCTAAAAGATATCTCTATGAGGAGTTTTTGAATGAGAAAAAGATGATTGACGATATCATACAGAGGTTCCATGATGAGGACGAGAGGGCAATGCAAGAGAAGATGTGTAAAGTAAGAACTTAAGCTAAGGTTACTCAGATCAAGAAAGAAATAAGTAATTTTTGAACTAAGATTTATAAAAAGTCTATGTCTGTGAATTTAGTTGTTGCAAGATAGTGTATACTGATTTTTTTTCCGGAAAATTCTTAGATGAGAAAGACCAGAGAAGAAATGTTGGCTTTTAAAGTAGCCCAACGAGAATGGAAGGAAAGAAAAAAGCAAGAGATCGAAGAAGAAAATAGAAGAATACAGGAGTTCTTGAAACAGAAGACTGCCAGCTCATCAGCTAGGTAAAGCTCTTAATGTTTTTATATTGCTCTAATTTTCAATCTATTTCTTTTTGCTTTAGGCTGGAACAACAACGTAAACGCGAAGAAGCCAAAGCCAAAATCCATGAAAACCTTGCAAAACAAGTTTACAATGAAACGGCAAGTAAAACAAATATTATTAGTATTATACCTACCTATTTAATCTATACATATTTATACTAAAATTTAAAAATACATAATACTAATAGGTCGTTCCCGTAATAGAAAAAGTGCTCAGAAAAGCATAAGCTGCTTGTCTGGGTGGTAAACAAGGACCAAAAGCTTCTAAAAGCATGGGATTTTTTAGTACAGAATGATGATAATCTGCGTAAGATATTTTTCCATCTCTGTCCAGGTCCATTTTTTTAGTAATTTGTTCTATCATGTCCTAAAAAAAAAAAAAATTTTTTTTGGCCATAGCAAAATGTGTGTACACAAAACCTACTCTTACTGATTCTTCAGCATCCTCATCACTGCTTTGACTGATGAATGAATATTTGAGCAGTTGAAACATAATATCTCTCCCTATAAGTCCTTCCCCCTTAATGTCATACACCTAAAAGCAAACTTATGAGATTTTTAAAATTTGCAATTAGTTTTGATTTAATACAGAAAAACAAAACCTTATCTTTTCCTCGAGCGTGCCCCTCAAAAATAAAGAAAACGTCGAGGCCCAAATTTCCATTGAAATACACGAATGTGGACCTTTATCTATGGCTAAAAATACTCTATCCATAAGTATGTCGTCGGTCATATCTAATACAAAATGCAGGACGTCTCTGAATTGAATTTTTGTGACGCCTTCCTAAAAACATTTTTTGAGGATTAAATTTCATTAACTCCAACAGAAATCGGTTATAACCAGTTTTGGGTCAACAGCAGTGCCCTCTTTCCATAGCTTGTAATAAATGAGCAACAAAGCTTCTATTTCCGTGTAAGTAAAGTGCAACCGTTTTTCTAATCTCAGAAACAAAAACTGGTTACTTTTTTTGAATCTGGTTTCTTCCATTGAATCCATGGATAAGTCCAAGGGTCCAGACATACCTTAATAAACAATAATTTTTAATATATTTCATCTGAATCTCTAATAATGAGTTTACTTACCTCGGGCTACATTTTCTCTTTTAGCTCTCAATTTTTTCTTGCGTAAAAGTCCCTCCTTTGCAGTCGCCAAAATCTGGAAAACGTTGAAAAAGGTTGGATCTTTTTTTTTATTATTTTGTATAGATTCCATTTTATAGTTTTAAAAAAAGACTTGCGAAAAAAATCAAAAAATAAATGTGATGGCAAAAAATTACCATTGCAACTGTCATTTGCTGATTTTTCAGTGGTGGCATGACTGGTTATTATAGAAGCACAATTCGTACGATTTGTACTGAATGGGTGAAGAATTTCTTCTTTTTCGTCTTCTATCACTTTTTGGAGTTTTTTGATTGAAGCTGTCATGGCTTTCATGATAACTATGGCAACATTTCCAGATTGGGCTAAATTGTACGTTTTTCCTATGCTGTTAAGCATAGTTTACAAGAGCGACTCAAACTATCGCACGTTTATGTCTGAGAGTACATTCTAATATAGATAGAGAGCTGAAATTTCCAGCGATTCTTATCCCAGTAGAGGACTACAATCCCTGAAAATTTCAGCTCATTTGGACTTATAGTTCCTGAGATAAAAACGTGTTAAGCAATTTGGGATGATTTATCAAATTTTCAATTTTTCTGAGTGCCTTTTTTCATAGATTTCGGCTTCAAATCTGAGAATAATTTAGTGTATGGAGTTTGAGGGATTCCAAATGACCATCAGGACAAAAAAATCACAGCGAAAAAAAAAATCGAAATTTTATCGTTTTAGTAAGAAGGTAGCTTCCTTATGATTTAGATTTTGGAAAACTTTCAAAGGTCATAACTTTTTTTCTATTATAGATAGAAAGCTGAAAATTTCAGCTCATTTGGAGTTTGGACTTATAGTTCCTGAGATAAAATCCTGTTAAGGGATTTGGGATGATTTATCAATTTTTCAATTTTTCTGAGTGCCTTTTTTTATAGATTTCGGCTTTAAATCTGAGAATAAATTAGTGTATGGAGTTTGAGGGATCCCAAATGACTGCTGAATGTTAACAGTGTCCGACAGTAAAAATTCATGAATAAAAAAAGCCATTCAAGAGCCTGTAATAGACAAAAGTTGAAATAAATAAGGCGGAAAATTCTAAACTTCCAATTTCAAAGTCTGGAAACTTATGTAAAAAGCCCTTTTTTCCCTTAATTTACTCAAAAATACAACTTCCTCAACCAAAATGGAACAATTTTAGGTATATTAAAAACAATTTTCCCCAACTTGAATTTTGGGAGGTTCAAAATCAATCTGCGAGTCTTAGATATTCTAGAGGCAAAATCGAGCATCTTTTCCTCTGGGAGAAGTAACCCAAACTATTGGAAAGCAATTTTTTCCCAATTTGATTTTTGTAGTAAGTAGGTAAAGGTTTTTAAGATTCTAGTTCCCAAAATGAAAAAAACTAAAAAGACAGTAAATCTTACCCTATGGGGTTCAGGTTTTTTTGAAGTTCTTACCATGACATTACATAATTCTGTTGCCTTTTCCAGCTTCTGTCCTCACAAATCTTGCAGATTTAGGATTAAACTCTTGGATATTAGTGGCTGCCCTGTAACAACCTTCACTCGCTAGCTGAGGAATGCACCACTGTAAACACTTACCATAAATAGTATATTAGTGTGACAAAAGGGCTCCAGCACAACTATGGCATTAGGCTCCCCCGTGGCTTCCCTACTGCCTTGAAGATTCAGTCGAATCATGAGCTGTTTTTTGAGGATTGATGCACATATGTAATTTCACTTGGAAGAGAAAAGTAATAATCAGCAACTGGATCTGTGTAATCCTGTCCACTATTTCCAGTCATTTATGGCCATCTCCAGAGCGAGATCCACTTGCCAAGAGATGCTGTCCAATGTCCAAAGTAATGATGACAAAACTGGAAAAGATGTTAAAACAAAATGGACATAGAAAAGAGAAACTTGGAATGTTAAATAAATGTATTATTATTATGCTTGAAAAAGACAAAAATTTATTATTATTATTATTATTAACCATCCAAAAGGATCCATAAAGCCTCTGTTGGTCCATTTGTGTCATATCCAGAGCCAAAACCAACTTGCCTCCTGGTTCAATTTGAAAGAGGGATGCCTGGAAAAAGACTTTATGTTAGTGAAAATTAAATGTAGAAATGTTAGAAAATTACCTATTTCAGCTTCCAATGATATCCTACCCTGATGAAAAAAATAAAATATGCAACGGTGTCCACAGGGCATCCAACCCTAGAATATCGAACGGTGTCCAGGGCATCTTTCCCCGAAAAGCATAAAATCCTCATAAACATATCCTGAAAAACATGAAAATCAAAACAACGCGGTTTAGGAACAGGGAAAGGAAATCTTGTTTTGGGGCTTACCATGTTCTGGAAAGACCTCTGGAAGCAGTTTGAAGGGCTCATGATGTCGAGGAAGCTACGTTGAAGCTTCATCTGAATCACACAAAACAAATATTCAAGTGTTAATATTCTGAAAACAACTTATGTCCAGGAAGCTGCCTGATGATGTTGATATTGTCTTCATCTGCAACACACAAATCAAAATTATCGAAGGGAGTATTCAGCTGTTTTGTGTCCCTTTGGGCTTGATCCACTATTGAGAGTACATTGTACGGACACCCAACAGCATCCATAAATTTAACCCCTTCTCTGCAGTATCAGTTTTGCCGCTGCTACACGTACCGTGATAGTATATTAGTGCAGCAAATGAGATCCATGACAACTTGACATGACTTACACACCTCATTTGAGATTTTCACCAGAAATAATTAAGAGTCTATTTTACTTGATAAGGCTCAGAAGATTCTTGACTTTCTTGGGGGAAGCTCACCTAAAAAATAAAAATGACATAATTTTTATGGATATCAATGAACTCTTTAATTTTTTATTTTTTTCTGGGAAACTGCTGAAGGGAAAATTGTGAAAATTCCAGGAGGAAAAGAGGAAAGTAAGGAGCTCATCCTACTAAAATTTAAAACTCATATGTTTTTTTTTTTTCTGAAAAAAACTACTAGAGGGAGAATTATGAAATTTTCAGCAAAAAAGAGGAACATTGGGAGCTCATCATATTAAAATTTCAAACTTTTCCAGTGAAAAATAACGTCTTGGGAAATTGATGAAAATCAACCAAATTAGGCAAAAATACACCCTCTTACATTTTAATGTTTTTTTCTGGAAAACCCTCGAAGGGAAAACTATGAAACTTTCAGGAGAAAAAGGGAAAAGCTAGGAGTTCATCATACTAAAATTTCAAAATGAATATGTAGGTACCTCTCGAAAATCCGTCCAGCAATTTTCCCCAGAAGTGATATTGATTAGACTCAGATGATTTTTGGACTTTGTTTGCTTACAGGGGGGCTCACCAAAAAAAGGCAATCAATTGAAATGTGCTAATAACATGAAAAGAGCATTAAAAAAACATCAAATACTTCAAAACCACAACATCAACAGAAGTTCAATTTACTCATAGTGGACCACCCTGTACTTAGTGTACTTTTTACATGAAAACCTGAGGCATAATCCAGGCATTTGAAAAATGGGAGTCAGCTCTAATAAGTTATGTTTTTATTAATGAATGTAAAGAAAATGCTTATATAAACATAAAGAAAATGTCAACGCAAAGTTTCAGCTCAAAAGTCAAAGTGTACAGATTTTTCCAGATAATTTACTTGGCTCCTGGACCATTATAGGTAGGGATGTAAAATGACAGTCATTTATTTTTTGTGATAAGTGACAATCATTTTTTTGTCATTTTCGTCATTTTTTGTCATTTATGGTCATTTACCGTCAATGTAGAACATAACCTAACTTAAATCAATAATCAGATATTTGATTGGTTGTCTATAGTTCTTCTCCAGTTTCACAGTCATCAGCATCAAAGTCATCTAATGAGTTAGAAAGTACACTCCCATGTCCTATACAATATTGACAGTAAATATCGAGAGTCAGATGATATTTTTGTAACATTGTCATATATTTCAATGACGGTCATATATTTTAATGACGGTCAGTTATCATTTTGACTGTCAGAAAATTTAATGCATAAAAAAATATATGACAAGAGTGTCCATGACCGTCATTTTCATTTTGACTGTGACATGACACTGTCAAGAAAAATTGGCTTACATCCCTAATTATAGGCCTACTAATCAACTATGGACCGAATTCTCATAAATCCTACAATTACTGGCTTTCCAAGAGTGCACCCAACACCTCCATGAGTGTCTCAAAAAAATTGAATACTTTCAAATTGCCTTTTTGAAAAATATAGCTACAACTGGATAGCTACATATCTCTCTAGGAATCAGCTAAAGAGTGTAATAATAATATGCACCTTCATATTGAATTCATTTTGGAAATAGTTAAAAATGTTAGTGGACTACCATTAGCAATTACCCAAAGTTTATAGATTAGTGTTAATTTGGGTTACCTAATTAGTTGTGTTAGGTTAGTTGGGTTGTTGCTAGTGGTAGTGGCTCGAAATTTGAGATAATTAGGACTTGTTTTGAGACACTTTATAGACACTGTACAATTTTTTTGGGACACTCCAACATTCTATTATAACAGTATCTTCATCCAGCATACAGCATTCTTTTCAAACAGTACACAGCATTCTCTTACAGCAGCACCTACATCCAGAATTTTCCTGGATCATTTATCTCTCACACAGAATTCATTCTTACTTGCTCCTTTTTTAACGCACTTCTGGAAAGCCAAGTCGAAAAAAGATTAATAATGAAAATAGGCGCGTAAGATTTTCTGGAAAACTTCTTTCTCTGACATTAAAAGTTCTAATTTCTGGACCTGGACTCTAGAAAATTTACTAATTGTTCAATAACTATTTAATTAAAAAAACATTAAATAAGAAAGTTCTGGATTGTTCCAGACCCAAAATTGAAGAAATCCCAATTACCAAAAAATAATTGTTGGTACCACTTACCAAAATCCAGTAGCCATTGGTACACTGGGCACACGAGGCGATAATCGGAAAATGGCGGCCGAAAAATCCTAACTTAAAAATCGATAATCCCCGGACGCGACTGTGTCTTTACTTTACTTACTTTATCTATCGGCTATCGGTTCTCGACTTAATTTCTTTGTTTTGTCCGACAAAGAAATCCGAATCTCAAACCCCCGCCAAACCCAAAAAAAAGGTAAACTGATAAGGTTTATAAATATGAGAAAGTGAAATAGGCAAAAAAACTAACTGCCTGTTTCTAGCTATACAGGGCCGAATTTGTATTAAATTTTTTAAAAAAGTTTATTTTAGTCTGGTTCCAACAAAGCAGAAAACTGTATAAAGTACCGTCAAGATTCTGCGCAAAGCCTAGAATCCGAAAATCGTATACAAAGTAACTTTGAAACCGTTCTTGGGACGGTTTTGGAACAGACCTTGATTATATTTTTCAATTTTTGTCTATTCCAGGCTCTGAAATAATTCTGAGGTTTTTAAATTGTCTAAAATGTCGCTGGAAAGGGTTCTAAATGGCTTATTATAGTTCTGAAGTGTTTTAACTTGGCTTGAGACAGGCAGATTTTTAAGTATTTCAGAGCCCTATTGAAGCTCTAAAATGTTCTAAATTGGTTCAATAGAGTTCTTAAAGGTTTCCAGTTCTACATTGATTCCTAATTGTTCTAAAATAACTCTGAGATTTCTGTTATTCTTCGATTATTTTTGGGCAAATTAATAATAACTATGCATCATTGAAAAGTGCAATAAATTCTCTATAACACACTGCAAAATTAGGTTTTGTTGCTTATAGAGTTTTAGAGATATTGAGCTTTAAAGTTGAAGTTTAGTCCAATCTATATTTTGTCCAAAACTTCAAACTCGATTTTCTCAAAAACCGTAATTGCTAGCGATTTCAACTAAATACCATCTTGTAGCTCTTTTGAAGGGCTCCAATTTTTATTCCAGTACCACTTTTGGTTATTGAGATATTTAAGATTGAAGATTTCAAAATAAAAATCAAAAGGGGGCACCCTTAGAAAAAAGTGCAAAAAATAGAAAATTTCTATTTTTGGATTTTTCTCAAATTTGACTTTAGAAATCGATAGAGCGAGTCCAAATTAGTCAGAAACAACTCTATAAAATCAAGTATTACATTTAGAAATTTCGATGAGAGAAAAAATCCAAAAGGAAATCTCATTATTCTCATTTTTGTCTCTGGAAATTTTTTGAAATCTTGACACGCTCATGAATTATTGTCTATATCTTCCATTATTTTTGAGCAAATTAATAATAACCATATATCATTAGAAAGAACATTAAATTCTCTATAAGGATGTGTAAAATTGGTTTTCGTAATTTTTGTGGTTCCCGCAAAATCTTGAGCTTGAAAGTTGAAATTCAGTCGACATTTTGTCTAAAACTTCAAACTTGGTTTTCTCAAAAACCGTAAACGCTAGCGATTCCAGCTAAATATCATTTTAAAGCCCTAGGAAAGATTCAAATGCCTGTAATAGAAAAACAATGTTTTTTCTATCAAACATTCACATAATATTAGGAAATTGCCTATAAATAAAAAAATCAATTAAAAAACCCATTAATTGTGTGAATTCTTCCGCTTGAAACATAATATAGAACATGATCACTTGACTCGTCATTTGGAAAACACAAAAACAATTTTGCCTGCCAAAGTTGAAGAGCATTCACAGCTATTTTATCAAAGCCCCATTAGACTGAATTCACTTGAAACCATGTTGTGCAACTGACACCCAACAGCAAATCACAATTCAACCCTTTCTCGCCGGTATTCGGTAGTGCCCCATTGCTACACTTACCTTTAATAGTATAATCGTGTAACAAATGAGATCCTAACATTATGGTGGACGGCTTCCCCAGGGTCACCAATTACCAGAAAGAAATAATCAAACCGAGGGGGAAACCACCTTAGAATTTCGGTGTACAAACTGATAGAATTTTTTAAAATTTCTTAGAATTTTTTAGCATTTTTTAGTATTTTCTAGGATTTTCTAGAAATATTTAGAATTTTTTAGTATTGTTTAGAATTGAATTAGAATTTTTTAGAAATAATTTAGAATTTTCACCTATTGCGCATGCTCAAGAGCCTGCGCACTGCGCAATCTGTAGGGATTTTTGGACATTTTTTTGAATTTTTAGAATTTTTGAGAATTAGCGGGTGATCTATTATAAATGTCACCCCCTTCTAACTTTTTCATTTGACATTTTTGACAAAAGTGTCAAATACAAAAGTTTCAATAAATTGTCGAAAGTTTTTAACTAAGTCAGTTTTAGACATATAGGGTGTGTCAAAAAAGTGAAGCAGTGTGAGGTTATTTTTTTTTTAAATGAAACACCCTGCATATTGTGCGCTTATTTGTTAGTCCCTTTTAACCTGATTTCAACGATATACGATTTGATATGTCTATCTTCGATATTTATAGGGAAAAACATGAAAACCCCTTTCAAGGTTTCATATTGAAAAAAGAAAAATTATACCATTTAAGCTTTAGAGAATTTTTTTTATTGAACAGTTTATTGTTTGTTTGACGCACCCTGTATGCCTAAAACTAACTTAGTTAAAGACTATTGACAATTTCTTGAAACTTTTGTATTTGATACTTCTGTCAAAAACGTCAAATGATAAAGGTGACATTTATAATAGATCACCCTGTACAAACTGATAGAATTTTTGGAATTTCTTAGAATTTTTCAGAATTATCAATTATCAGTATTTTTTTGAGTTTTTTAGTATTTTCTAGCAATTTCTAGAATTATTCAGTATTTTTTAGAATTGAACTAGAATTTTTTAAAAATAATTTAGAATTTTCATCTATTTTTTAGAATTTTTAGAATTTTTTGGGACAATAATAACATGAAAATTAGCATTTTTCAGAATTTTAGAATTTTTGGTGTATAAAATTAGGTAGATGGATTTCCCCTCGAATCAAACCATGATTTGTTGCCCTGGATATCAGTGAAATGCAACTTCAATAATTGTTAAGAGGAAGTTATTGGGAAAATTCAATGTGGCGTGGCGGCCAAGCAAGTTTGTTTTGAATATGTTTTTATGCGTATTTTAAATTATTTTGCATACAGTTTTGCTTACAACTGTGATTTTCATTATTTAATAAAATATTTGTTGACTAGGTACCTAAACTATTAACTCGGGCAGAAACCAGATATATTTTTGTGTTTTTTGGCCCATGTGTGGCCGCCACGCCATCTTGAATGTCACGTGGTTTGAATTGCCTAATACTTTGCCACAAGTGACCAGATCAATATCTAATTTAAAAAAGTTTTAAAAAGCATGTCGTACTTACATTTATGAAAATTTGTATAAATTTATGTTGCTAGTTTAATCTGGTAGGTGTAGAAACCAAGGTAGAAACTAAATATTTATAGCCACTTTTTTTTTTCTTTTTTTCATGTGTATATTTTTTTTTTTGTCTTAAAATTTTTATTTTCTTTTTTTTCTTTTGCACGTCATACAGGTGTTAAGTCACGTAGGTACAGGCGATTATGTATGAGACTGTGTTAGGCTATCTATTGCAAAGCTACCACTTAGTGCGTAAGAATTAATATACATATTTCATGTTTTTTTTTTAAGGTAGGTACCCTATGATTGTTGAAGGTAGTTTTATGATGATAAAAGAAATGTTTCAATTATTGTTATCTGTTGCTATTAAATAAATTGAATCGACATCTACAACCAAATGCTTAAAGTCTAATACAAAACATGCTCAACTAGAAGTAGCTTACCTGACAGTTTATTAGAAAGTGAATAGACCGGCTCTAATATGTATCAAGAGGCTCTTTGAAGAGCCGGGAATAGTCAAAAATTTAGACAGAAAGCTTTGAGAATTGAAAAGCACAAATTCTATTCCAGGAAATCTAATTTTTGGAATCTTGACATGCTCATGAATAATTACTCATATCTTTCATGATATTTGAGAAAATTGCCTACAATGACACATCATTAAAAAAATAATTAAAATTAAATTCTCTATAAGCCGTGCAAAATTAGTTACTTTTACTTTTGAAGTTTCTGAGATATTGAACTTCAAAGTTGAAATCACAGATGTTGAAATTCAGTCGACATTTGTCCAAAACTTCAAACTCAATTATCTCAAAAATTGTAAACGATAGGGATTTCACTACAGTAGAGTACAACTACTACCATTACTACTACTCAAAGGTAGTCAAAATTATTATTTTTCAAAATGTGCTTACTTTTAAACACCGGATACCTCGAAAACTAATCATACAATTTAAGATTTTGCTATAAGACTGTAGAGTGAAAGCAACGAGCTATCCAACAATGTACAGCACAAACTAGGTTCTTTTTTGAAAAAAATACGCTAGGGTAACTACCCCCTTCCTGATAGTATTTTTTGTCTAAGAGATATTTCCGATTGTTATGGCAAATAAAATAAAAAATGTACAGGGATAGGGCCAATCGTTCTCTTGGTTCACGCATATTTGTATCTGATTTTGATATTTTATCTGAGATTAATTGTAATAAAAAGTTGAAGTCGGCTTCTGACATACAGAAATTTTTTAAATTTATTTGGATCTCCACTTTTCGAATCATCTAAAAACATCGCGTAATGTAATTTGGTCAAAGATATTGTCACGAGCCTATTTTGCTGTGACATATGAATATTTTTTTAAAACCTTACATACATTAAAATTTGAGTTTCCAGAGAATAATTAAATTACACATTTCACCTTTAGATCAGAAAAAAAGAACGCGAAGAAATATTGCAAGAACTAATGATCGAAGAGCAGAAAGAAGCACAAGATCGAAGACACAGAGAAGAAGTCGAAAAACAAATCAGGCAAAGAATAGAAATAAAAGAATCGTTGAATGCTCAATTTAGAGAAAGAGAAGAAAAATTGCGGCGAGCAGCAGCAGAAGATGCTAAATATAAAGAAAAGGTAAAAAAAAAAAATAATAATAATAAAATTAAATTCTAATATTTGTGTTTAGTTGATGGAAGATATGGCCGAAGATCAAAAATTGGAACAAATGTCAGCCCAGAAACGTAGAATGAAGATGCTGCAAATGCGCAGAGAAGTTGAACAAATAATGAACGAGAGACGACAAGCCAGAGCAGAAGAAATGCAATTGATGATCAAACTTAAAGAACAAGAAGATCAAGAAATGGAAAATAGGTTTGAATAAATTGAAATGTGTTTTTTTTTTTTTTAAATTATATTCTTGTTTCAGGAGGAAGATCATCGAAGAAGAACGTATATTGTTGCTTAAAACGCACGTTAAAAATCTTGTTGGCTATTTGCCTAAAGGTTTATTGAGGTCTAGCGATCTGCCTTATCTTGGAGACGATGTTATTGATCATTCTAAGTAGATTTTTATTATTTTATTGAACTATGCATTCCCAATAAATTTTTTCTGTGATAGTAATAGTGGTTTTATTTATTGCTTCTATTTTCACAGGGTACCTATTGGAACTATTTATTTATTTATTTATAGTAGAACCGCCAACACTTCAGAAAATGCTTTGCTTCAATGAAAAATTACAGAATGTAAGAAGAAAGATTATAATATAAATTAGATGTCGGCTAAGTTAGCAACACATTTGAAGCAGGATCCCTAAAACAAGTTCCTGCTTGTGCTGCTATGGTCCTGCTTTATCCTGCTTCAAACCGCAACCCAGCAACAGCCACCGTTTTTCACCCCAGCAACACCTGATATATTTGAGATACACACTGGTAGCATTTCAAGAGTCAAGTCGTAGGGGAGCTCGAGACACCGTTACCGAATTTATCGTAATGAGTGCCTGTCTCTATATGTTGGTATTTTAGACGAAAAGAGCTAATCCAAAAATTGAATTGAAACTAACCCATCCTGTGATAGGTGGCCTCCCTGCGCTTCTATAGGGAGGTTATTTTTCTTTTTTTCTTAAAGATTATTAAGAGGACGGGTTAGTTTCAATTCAATCCTTGGATTAAATTTTTTTCGTTTAAAATACCTCCATGCAAAGACTAGCATACATATCTGTTGGATACAATATCCAACTATATTGGTTGGCCATGTGCAACTATGCACCAGACGTGACAACTTCATATTTTTGCTAGTATTGTCAAGTCTTGAAAGATGTTAGAACATGAGCATGTCGCTCCTCATTTTCTCAAGCTAATATTCCATGTATAAGTTAAATGCAGGTTTCGTACCTCATTTGAAAGCTCTACCTTCTGGGTATCTTTCCAGTATGAAATGTATTCATATTAATATATGTTACAATTTAGTGGAAGTGCGAGTTTGTATCCCACAATATCGAAGACAGCTCTTTTCGTCTAAATTACCAACATACACAGAATAGCATTCACTACAAGGACGGGTTAGTTTAGAATAGCTCTTTTCGTCTAAAATACCAACATACAAAGACTAGCAATTAGTATGAGGACGGGTTAGTTTCATTCCTGATTGTAGATTCACAAAATTCAGAGCCTCTGTTTGGACTAAATGATTGTGTGAATTTCAATATGATTACTCGAATCAATTCAATTCAAAATAAATTTTTATACAATAATGTGCCCTTACCTAAAAATAGAGATGAATTGTTTAATAGTATTATTAAAACTATTTTTGAAGGTCTTGGATGTACGTCTGGCATATTAAATTAAAAGCTAATGCTAAGCCTGTGATTCAGATACAGAGGAAGGTACCATTGGCTTTGCATGAAAGATTAAAATCTTCACTAGATGATCTTGAACAAAAAAATATAATTTCCAAAGTTAATTATTTTACTGAATGGGTGAATTCGTTAATGATTGTTGAAAAACTGAATGGTTCCCTTCGTTTGTGTTCGGATCCAAAGCCTTTAAATAAGTATATTTGCAGAGAACATTACATAATCCCAAAATATGACACTATTTTGTGTAGGTTGGAAGGAAAAACAATTTTTTCGGTCATAGATATTATAAAAGATGTGTTCTTTGGTTCTGGCAAGTACAATTAACAAAAAAAAGTTCAGATTTGTGTACTTTCAACACTCCTTTTGGCCGATATAAATTTCATAGGGATGCCATTTGGATTGAGCAATATACCAGAAATCTTCCAGAGAAAAAAACATGGAAATATTTGGTGACATTTCAAATGTAAGTATATATTTTGACGATATAATCATTGCAGGTTATAATGAGCAAGACCATGATGATGCTTTTAAAAAAGTAATTGAAAAAGCTTTCACATATAACACTAAATTTAATTTTCACAAACCGCAATACAAAATGAATGAAGTTAACTTTTTAGGTCAAGTTATCTCAAAAAACGGTATTACACCTCAAAAAAACATTGAAGCTGTTTTGTCCATTGAAAATCCTTCTAATAAAAAATACTTACTTAAAATTCTTGGACTTTTCAAATTTTTCTCAAAATTTATACAGAATCTTTCACATCTAACTTTTAATTCACGAAACTTAACTAGAAGCGATGTCAAGTTTGTGTGGCTGGAGGTACCATCGTCACCAAAAGTATCTGGGACACAAATAATGCATAATAATCTCCTGCACTTATTCTACTGTCATTCATTTCAATGCATTTAATTCACAGTTTGACAAATATTTGACAATAAAATTCATATAATAGGACAAGAGCTGATGTGATGCTGTCCCAGTTACTTTTGGTGACGATGGTACATCAGTAAGAATTGAATATTCTTAAAACTCTAATCACAAACAAACTAATAACAAAAATGTTTGATGTAGATCATAAATTGAAACTGAAAGTCCTCTTGATATTGAGTTAGAGTACACAGTCCATGCACTTTTCTAGTGTACCAATGACAAAAGAAAAGAAAATTATTTTCTAAAACGCAATTCATAATAATCTGGTTTTATCGCGAGTCAAGAATTTTTGTTTAACCAAATCGCCGAATAATAATAAAAAGTTAGCTTCAGAATTAAGATATTTCTATAACTTAACACATTGCGTGCCACGCGTATATTTGCAAAGTATCCTTGGGGGCCATGTGCGATTATGGCTAAATCTTTGTTCAAATGTAGTTAAAATTGTAGTTTTTTGGATAATTGATGATTCATTTATTATTTTGGCCTTTTTTACATTCTTGTAATGTCTTTCATATATGCCAGGCGTGGCCCCTCACGATAATTTTCAGATATTTTTACCGTAGGAGGCCGCGTCTGGCACATATGACAGACGCTATTTATTTATTAGGGTAGAAAAGTTGCTAAAAATCAATCAAAGATGGTCTATACCTATTGTGATGCCCGTATTACATCTGTGTATTTTTCCGTGTATTTATTCATGTAGTTCAGGGTGCCAACATTATTTTGTTTTCCATAATGCTGATATATGTTGCGTTTGAAGTTTTTCGGTTGTCATCCTGAACTACATGAATAAATACACAGAAAAATACACAGGTGTAATACGGGTTTGAGAAGTGCCCAGATAAACCACAAATATGTTTAGATTGTTTCAATACAAATCATAATTAGTTATACTGTATAAATTTTCTAGAAATTCGCTTTTCATTTGTATTTCTAGAAGCTAGAACATTATTTCAATTCCTCAAATAACGTTTATTTTTTGTTTTGTGAGTTTGAAATAAATATTTTTGAATAATAAACCTAAAATTTTGATTCATTCATTTACATTCTCGAAAAAAAATAGTAATTATTCGAATTTGCTCAAACCAAATATACCAAAATGTTCGTGGCAGGCCACAGATTGATAACCCATAAGATAAAGCGCGTAGCGTCTGGCATATCTGTAAGACGCGGCCTGGTAGTGAATATTGTCTGTCTTGCATATATGACAAACGTGGCCCCTCCGGAAGTAGCACTGTCTGTCATATATGCCAGACGTGGCAATCAAGGTGTTAAAGGATGATATTCACCTTTCTGATAATTTACTGTTTCACAATTAAAAAAAATATTGTTCTTTCCGAACTCAAAATTGATATGCTTAAACTTATATATTCTGCTCATTTTGGGATAGGTACTTACTTAGTAAAATGTAAATTGCGAGCCCGTGAAATCATGATATGGCGGAACATGTCACAGGACCAGAGCTGGGCAAAGCCCTCAGTAAAAGGGCTTGAAGCACTAAGCCGTAAGCCCTTTATCAAAGTGCTTTCAATTTCAAGCACAAATTCCTTTTTATTTTCAGAAGTGCTTCACAAGCACAAAGCCCTCAAAGTAATTTGAAAAGTACTTGAAGTACATCAAAAGTGCTTGGGGAGCCTTAAAAAGTGCTTTGAAGTCCTTTAAATGTCCTTGAAGTTCTTTAAATGTGCTTGAAGCTCTTTAAATGTGCCTAAAGCACTTTGAATTTTTAATAAAATTCTCAAAGTGGCATAAGCTACCGTGTACACTTATCAGTTGAATTGGTATAGTAGAGATGAACTTTACATTTCACAGAGTAGCAGTAGTATGTTTTTTTTTGAGATGTAGTTCTGGGGTACTTGGGGTAGTTGGGGTACTACATGGTAATTCAATTTTAAGGTTTTCAAAATGTTCAATGAGGAAAAGTGAAAAAAATCCAGTGATAAAGTTAAATAGGGTACCAATATAAATAATTTATTTATTTGTTTATTTCTAAGCTCAAACCCAAAACCTCCATTGTTAAGAGAGAAAAGACATAAGACGATTCAAGTTCAAATAATAGAAAAAAAATTTAAGCGACAAAACACATCGATCGAAAATTTTTAAATGGGGGATAGGTTGAATGATGGTCAATTCAAATTCCTTTCGAAGTAAGTGCTTCAAGCTCCCAAAAGTGCTTCAAGCCCTCTAAAAGTAATTGAAGCTCATTGAAAGGGCTTGAATTACTTTTTTCAATTACAAATTACCAAGCACTTTTCTAAAGTAATTGACTTTGTAAGCCCCAATTACAAATCTATAAAAGGGCTTGAAGCACAGGGCTTTAAAGTCCTCAAAGTGCTTCAAGCACTTTCACAAGCCCAGCTCTGCACAGGACATAGAAAATTGTGTTACAAATTGTGAAATCTGTCAGCTCAATAGGCCAGCAAATCAAAAGGAAACTCTTGTTTCTCATCAAACACCGGAAAGACCGAGGCAAATATTGTTTTCAGATTTTTTGATTTTAAATCCAAGAGTTACTTATTATTTGCTGTGCTGACACTTATTCTCACTGGCTCGAGGTATTTCCTACTCAAGATAAGACTGCAAAAACTGTTATAAAACATTGTAAGGATATATTTTCTAAATTTGGTGTTCCTGATATTTTTTACTCTGATAACGTGCCATATTATAATAGTATAGAATTTAAAAATTTTGCTAGGTCCTGGAATTTTCAATGTGAATTTTCCAGCCTCTACCATCATCAGTCAAATGGCTTTGCGGAGAAGTATGTTGATATTTCGAAGAATATGCTCAAAAAACTGAAAAATCCAGATAAAGTTTCATATTATTTACTCGAA